AGTGTCAGTGACTAGACAGAGGTGTCTCTGTGGTGCAGGGACAGGCATGTTGTGTCCCATCCGTCCCCCAGTGTCAGGAGAACTCCCTTCTAGAGTGTGGCTGCTGTGGAGACCTGGAGTGAGGATCCCCCACTTCAATATATAAGTATCCCAGTGTCAGTGACTAGACAGAGGTGTCTCTGTGGTGCAGGGACAGGCATGTTGTGTCCCATCTGTCCCCCAGTGTCAGGAGAACTCCCTTCTAGAGTGTGGCTGCTGTGGAGACCTGGAGTGAGGATCCCCCACTTCAATATATAAGTATCCGGCTTGCCCGAAGTGCAGACCGTTTCTGGGACAGTCTCCAGAACTTACTCCTCAAAGAGGAGAGAGTGGCCTTCAGACCCAGACTGAATGGGATGCTGGGCAGGAGGGGCCAGTTTCACCCATGAAAGTAGACCCAGCCTTGGCTGGGGGTGGTGTCGGCCACAGATGGAGCCAGCCTCAGGGGGAGGCTGGCCTTGCCAACTTCACCAACCTGGTAGGGCCCAGAGGCTCTCATCTCAAGAAATTGGGTGTGGGGCCTTGGGAGGCATCAACTATGGGGAAGTCTGGAGTCAGGACCAGACCATATCTGTGCGGCTTATAATTTTCTGTTTTTTCTTTAATAAAGACTTCTTAGTAAAAACCTGGATGTGAGGCATGTGATCTTAGACAAATCACTTCATCTTTCCTATTTGGTTTCCTCTTAATAGCTTCCTTACAGCATTGCATTAATCTTACATGCTAATAACAGTAACCATAAAGAGAGTCTGACTGTATCGAGCCCTTACTATATGCCAAGTCCTAGACAAAGCACTTCCAGTACATTCTCTCTAACCTTTTTACCCTGTAAGGTATGTATTGTCCTTACTTTCACATGCAGAAACTGAGACCCAGGGAGATTAAGCAGCATACCCAATGACACGTGACTTGGTAGGAGGTAGTGCCAGTATTAGAACCCAGGGTGTATAGCCCAGAGCCTGGGACATGTGCAGCCCTGATGCCAGGTGCCTCAGACATAAGTGATGAGGGCACAGCTGGCACACGTCCATCTGCCTTGGCTCAGGGCAGCCCTTGTACATGTGACTTGTATACCTCTTTACCTTTCCATTTTTGTAAATGCAACTCTGATAGAGCCTTGCGAAGAGGATCTATGCACAGTGGGCAAAGGAAGGACCTTCAGGGTATGGGAACAGGGCCAGGCAGCTTGGCTTAGCTGCCCATCATTCTGGGATCTTCCCTTTTCCAAGCCCTGGAGTCAGGGACTGTGGCTTTGATTGACCTCTTTGCCCTGCCCTGCACCTGGGCTCGACTCCACTTTTCCTACCTGTGTAGACATCATGGTCTCTGTCCAGGGTGGTGAACTGCTTGCCATTGTGCCAGGTGAAAGAGTCGCCTGCATTGCCATGGTAGCGCCCCAGCCGCAGCTTGTAATATTCGCTCTCAGGCTCCAGGCGGAAACTGGCATATTCTGCAAAGACCTTGCGGCCAGACCAGTCCTCCATGGTCACCAGCAGTTTGTAGTTGCCTTGGTTTGTCAGCCAGTAAATGTTTTCCAGGCCCAGCCAGTACTCACCATCAATGTTGCCAAACCCTTGCTGGGAAAAACCCAAGACAGCATTAGTGTAGAGCCCACAGTGCCCCAGCCAGCAGGTCCAGCTTTAGGACACAGTCATGGACAGAGGAGCCTGGGAAACAAGCAGAGCATATGGCAGCCAGGTTCAAACCCCCAAACCCCCACTTTGCAGCTCTGTGACTTGGTGAGCAACTTCACCTTTCTGAGCCTCCATCACACATCATTCAAAAATATGTAGAGAGAGCCAGGCACTGTGTGAACCCCAGATTCCTCACTATGACACAGGGGATGCTGTATTACCTTCCTCACAGGGGTGCTGTAGGAACACACGTGATGTGGTAAATTGAGAGCCTGGCACACAGGAGCAGACAACAGGCATTCCTGGGACAAATCCCTTTCCTTCCCTGAGCTCCAGCCTCCTTCTCTGGGGATGAATGTACGTTAGGGTCACTGCAAGCTGTGACACATTTGTCACAGCTCAGACGGGTATGAGCTGTCACAAATGTGTTGCATCCACCTGGGCTCCCTTCTAGGTCTAAAACCCAGTGGTTTTGTTATTGTTTTTACATGTAGTTTGGGGGGTTATCAGCTGAGTGATGGCGACTGAAGTTTTGATAATGGGTGGATTCATTAATAATGATAATAGCTAGTATTTAGCGTGCACTTAAAGTGCACTGGCGCTATTACAAGAACTTTACATAAGTTATTTTATTAATCTTCATGCCAACTCTTAGAGCTAGGTACTATCATTATCCTTCCTAGAATGGGTGAACTGAAGCCCAGAGACTTACATCAGCACTTAAACCCAGAACCCAGTCTTAATCACTGTGCTGTACTTCCTCCAAGAAAGAAAGGAGGAAAGAGTCAAGGAGTGAGTCTTCAGAAGCCTCTAAATTTGGAGGTGGAGCAGGAAGAAAAGAAAGCAAGGACACAAACTGATCAGGAGGTGGGTTAGGGGACAACCAAGAAGGGGCACAACAGAGCCATGTGTGGAAGACATCATGGCTGAGGTAGTCTGTGGGCTTTGGTGTCAGAGGCCTAAGCTGCAGTCGCTGCTTTGCCACGTCCTGGCTGTGCAACCTTGAGCAAGTCTCTCCACCTTTTCACCTGTCAGCTTTGTCAACAGCAGCATCTCCCTCAGAGGGCTGATGTGAAATTGAAGGAGGTAATGCACGAAAGCATTTAGCATGGCAGCTGGCACATGGTGGGTGCCCGTTATCTCAAGCTACTCTTGCCATCCTTAGTCAGAGGAGGGAGAATGATGTATAGCTGAACGGTAGCAGCCTTTCCTGCTACAAGGATGAACATTTTAACTCCCTGGAAATTGGGGAGCCCAGAGGATGAGCCCTAGAATTAGAACCTGAGTATTACCACAGTTTCCTACACAGACCCTTTGGGGGAGTCTCCCAGAGCCTGGGAGACTTGTGACTTGCCCTTTCTGGGCATGGAGAACTCCAGCTGGGAGTAAGATGCTCCCCACATCCAGGCTGGAGCAAGGCCCTCTGTCCCCACATACCAGCATTTCTGAACTCCCACCCCATCCTGTGGGGCTCTGGTGATCTGAACTGCTAACTCTTGTCCTGCAGCAGTTGCTAGTGGCAGGCAGGGAAGGAGCTGGTCCTCACTACCCCTGGTAGGTTTACAAAAATGGCTCTGTCTGCGTCCTTCTCGCCTCAGGTATATTTTCTTTTTGGGGTCATAAAGATCCTGACCTCATCAGCATGCACCTCCCTCCAAGTGGCTCTTTTGCTGGTTGCTCAGGCCTCTCTCAGGGTGGGGCAGTCACCTTGTAGGCAGTGCAGACAGGCCCTGCTGGGTCTCACCTTGTATGTCTCCCAGTTCCTGAAGAAGTTGACAGAGCCATCCAGGCGCCTCTGGATGACAGTCCAGCCACCGGGGTCATGTCTTTGGTCGCACCACACTTGCATGAGGCGGTTGGTGTTCTCTGGCTTCACCAGGTAGATGGAGCTGGTATCATGGCCATCCTCCAGGGCCTGCAGGCAGTCTCTCCACGGGCCTGGGGACACAGACATGCATATGTCACAGCCCTGCCATTGCCAGGTCACACCCTCAGCTGCATCCCAAGTAGGCACAACTTCTGGCAGGGCTCCAGCTGGGAGTCACAGCCCTGCAGTTTGAGGGGACCAAGTTTTGTTTGCAAGTTTGAGAAATAATATGATGTAAAGACAAGAGCCCAGAACTAGGTGTCAGAATGCTTGGATTCAAAGCCCACTTTCTCCTCTCATTCTCTCACAATGTGACTTTGGGCAAGCTTCCTCACTTCTAGCCCTCAGTTTCCCTCATTTGTAGAAGGTAGGTCATATTTTCCTCATGCAGAGTTGTCAGGATTACTGAGATCATTTGTGTGGAAGTTCTTGGAGTCATTTTTTTTAAAGTTAGTTATATTGGCAAAAAGAGATGTGTGCCTACTAAAACGTGGCAGTTAAGCAGCACTGTGCTTTGGTGGCTTTACTCCCGTGGGGGACCTGGGCTTTACCGGACTGCTCTTCTTACATGCAGAGTTGTCAGGATTACTGAGATCATTTGTGTGGAAGTTCTTGGAGTCATTTTTTTTTAAGTTAGTTATATTGGCAAAAAGAGATGTGTGCCTACTAAAACGTGGCAGTTAAGCAGCACTGTGCTTTGGTGGCTTTACTCCAGTGGGGGACCTGGGCTTTACCGGACTGCTCTTCTTGAGTGCCTGGGGCTGAGTGCCATTGGCACACCTCAATTCCAACTCCACAGTCACCTTTCCAGTGACAGTGCTCCATGACAACTACTGCAGTTTTTAGTAAATGAACTTCCATGAAGTCACAGGGGCCCCGGCTATACCCAGAATTTGGCCACATAGCCAGAGATTTCAGGATATTTCTGGGATTTGTGAGAGCACACTGGTTTTCAAGCATCTTTTGTGGAGACCAGGTTCCCTTTCAGCTAAATTTGTGTATTTTCCAAAAGAAGTTCACTGAGGGCCAGATGCTCAGAGCTCACACATTCTAAGCTCGGTGTTCCATAGGCCAGCCATAAGCTTAAAGGACTATGTCTTGGACACCATCTCAATCCATGGCTCCCTTCTGAAATGGAGACCAGAAGGGTTCTATGATTCTCTGTGACTTCATGGACCTCAGGCAGCCCCGTTGGAAGGAATGGGTGTCGCTGGGAGTCTGAATTGATATCACATGTCTTTCAGCTCCCCCTCTCATTGACCCAACATCCCCTAGCAGTTTCCTTTGTGTCACATCAGCAAGAAGGCACAAACATGAATCACTAAGGTCAGACAAGTTGGGGTCTTCCTTATTGATCTGAGGAACTTTCAGAAGGTTTTCAAGACCTTGCCATTTAACTACATATTTTAAAATAAATAAAATCACCACACTTTGCTTAAGTCGCTCCAAAATATTCCCCAGACTGAGAATAGTTAAGATAAAAAGTGCTAAGAAAATTACATCTTGTTTTCTATATGAATTTGTATGTTTATTCAACAACTGTTGTTGAGTCCCTGCACCTGCAGGTTCTGTGCTGGCCAGGGGCTGCTCTGATGCCCAGTGAGGGACAAGCTGACCTCACCAGCTTTCTCTTAGCAGGAATTCTTGTGGATTGATGTCCTTTCTCGTTTGGTGTGTGGGTAGGGGGAGTGGGGAGAGGGGCCCATCAGGGGCAGGTATATTCACTGTTTTCCTGTGTAGATCAAACTTCTCAGATTCCTTCCTGGCTGGTGGTTGGGCCCATCCAGTCCACATGTGATGGTTAAAAGGAAAGGTGTGGGTATTTGGTCTCTGTTAGATATCCCAGGTGGGCTTTGCTGAGGCCTGGCAGCTGTGTTTGAGCATCCCCACCTAGGCCCTGACAAGACGGCAGGAGCTGTCTTGCTCATTCCTCCGTCCTCAGTGCCCAACACAGCACCGAGAAGAAAGGTCAGTTCATGTACAGTTAACCCAGGGGCTCCTCCCTTCATCCTCCAGGGAGAGGCTTCTTCTCACTCATTTACCTTCTCACCAGCCCTCTGCCCCCCACAAGGGATGAGCAGGACCCCAAGCACCCCATTCTGGGTAGCAGATGTGGGACAAGCAGCTGCTTCCTTCTTTGCCTGGTGCCACTTCCTGCCTTTGGCCCCCCTCAGTATCTGTCCTGGAGCCAGACCTTCAGAAAGAACATTCAGGAAGGAGAAAAAGGTCTTGGTTGTGTTTGGCCCAAGCCCCAGGAACTGAGGCAGAGAATGGGAGTCTGTCCCCAACAGCTGGAGCAGAGCGCCAGTGGGCGTGGGAGGACTCCCAGCTCTTTACCAAGTCAGCAGCACAGGAGAGGCTGTTTGGTTCGAATGCTGGTGACAGAAGATCCGCCAGAGCCTGCGAAATAATGCCCACTGAAAGCAAACAGCTAGACCTATTACTGCACAGCTGTCCGGGCTCCTGTGGAATTGTCAGATGTAAAGGCCAACTTTGAAGGAGGCACCACAGAGGGAGAGGCTTTGGAGGCCACTGGGAGAGGGGCAGGTCTACCTCATGGCTCCTAGCCAGAGCTGCTTTTGTGGGTGCCATTGATGGTTTCAGCTTTACCTTCGGCATTTCTACAAAGGGCTCTTTTTAAAAGGCAAGTGTTTTAAAATGTTTTGGGATCTCTGGTCCCTCTAAGAATTTGGGGACAGCTCTACATCTTCTATTCAGACAAATGCACAGACTCACACAATTTTGTATACAATTTCAGAAGGTAAATGGACCCCTAAGGCCCTAGCTATAAACCCCAGATTTTGAACTCTTAGCTCTAAGAAAGTCCTGAATTGAGTAATAGTGGTAATAATAAAATAATAATAGCCAGCAGCCCTGAGCATTTCCTAATGTACCAGGCCTTATTCCAAGCACTACCCATTTATTTCTATGCCTGATCCTCCTGACACTCCTATGAGGTCAGTAGTAGCCTACGCATTTTACAGATGAGGAAACCAGAGCACAGGGATGTTAGGGGACATCCCCAATGTCACATGGCTGGTGAGGGGCAGAGCAGTATATGCACCCAGGTGGTCTGGATGGTCCAGAGCACACATTCTTCTTTCTCTCCAGCCAGAGTGCACTCAAGGGTATGGGGGCCCAGGCTGACTAATCTCTATGTCCCTTGGACCATTTTTAATCTTTGTCAGTCAGGCGGGTTAAAAAAATAAAAATTTACAGTTCTTCTTTGTCAAGGTGTTAAACCTTCTTTTTTCTTTTTAAATCTTTATTGATGATTTGCTTTTCTTTTATGTTTACCTTTTGGGGTCTTTTTTGAAAAGATAAACAAAATTGACAAGCCATTATGCAGACAAACCAACAAAAAGAGAGAGAAGACTGAAATAAATAAAATCAGAATGGCAAAAGGAGACATTACAACTGATACTGCAGAAATACAAAGGATTATTAGAAACTGTTATGAACAACTATACACCAGTAAATTTGAAAACCTAGAGGAAATGGATAAATTCCTGGAGACATATGACATTCCAAGACTCAACCAAGAAGAAATAGAAAACCTGAATAGACCAATAACAAGTAATGATTGAATGAGTAATAAAAAGTCTCCCAACAAAGAAAAGCCCAGGATTAGATGGCTTTACTGCTGAATTCTACCAAATATTTAAAGAAGAACTAATACAAATACTTCTTAAACTATTTCAAAAAGTAGATGGAATTCTCTCAAACTCATACTACAAGGCCAGCATTACCCTGGTACCAAAACCAGGTAAGGACCAAGCAAGCAAAGAAAACTACAGGCCAATATCCCTAATGAACATAGATGCAAAAATCCTCAATAAAACCCTACAAACTGAATCCAGCAGCACATCAAAAAGATTATACACCATGATCAAGTGAAGTTTATTGTAGGGATGCAAGGATGGTTCAGCATACACACATCAATCATAACATCACATCAACAGAATGAAAGAAAAAAAACCTACGATCATCTTGATAGATGCAGAAAAAGCATTTGATGAAATTCAACATCCCATCATGATAAAAACTCTCAACAAATTAGGTATAGAAGGAAAGTATTTTAATACAATAAAGGCTATATATGACAAACCCACAGCTAACATCATACATAAGCTTTTAGCTTTTCCCCTAAGAACTACAACAGGACAAGGATGCTCACTCTCACCACTTTTATTCAACATAGTACTGGAAGTCCTAGCCAGAGCAATTAGGCAAAAGAAAGAAGTAAAGGACATCCAAATTGTCAAAGAGGAAGTCAAATTGTCCCTGTTTGCAGATTACTTGATTTTTTTTTTTTTTTTTTTGGACCAGTAAGGGGATCACAACCTGTCAGCACAGTGTGGTCCGCACCACGCCCAGCCAGTGAGCGCACCGGCCATCCCTACATAGGATCCGAACCCGCGTCCTTGGCGCTACAAGCGCTGCACTCTCCCAAGTGAGCCACAGGGCTGGCCTGAGATTACTTGATTTTATATGGAGAGAAACCTAAGGACTCTAACCAAAAAACTCCTAGACCTGATAAACAAATTTAGTAAAGTTCCAGGATACAAAATCATCATCCACAAATCACTAGCATTCTTTTTTTTTTTTTTTTTTTTTTTTAAAGATGACCGGTAAGGGGATCTTAACCCTTGATTTGGTGTTGTCGGCACCACGCTCACACAATGAGCTAACCAGCCATCCCTATATGGGATCCAAACCCACGGCCTTGGTGTTATCAGCATCACACTCTCCCGAGTGAGCCACGGGCTGGCCCAAATCAGTAGCATTCTATACACCAACAATGATCTACCAGAAAAAGAAATCAAGAAAGCAATCCCATTTATAATAGCAACAAAAAATTTAAATACCTAGGAGTAAATTTAACCAAGGAGGTGAAGATCTCTGTAAAGAAAACTATGAAACATTGATTAAAGAAGTTAAAGATGACACAAAAAAATGGAAAGACATCCCATGTTCATGGATTAGAAGAACCAACATTGTCAAAATGACCATACTACCCAAAGCAATCTACAGGTTCAATGCAGTCCCCATCAAACTACCAATGACATAC